TAGCCAATGTCATTACACACAAATATCCATCTTTCGTCTTCCAGATCCACCACACTCAGATGACCTTACTGTCCCCACTCCCTGGGCCTCTTGCATCCTGCCCAGCTGCCTTGTGCTACTTTGTGTACTTACTTCTCTCTAGGCCTCAGACCACCTTCCCTTCACGTTTCTGCAACCTGATGCTTGGTCATCTAGTAGTTTTATATGGTACCATTTATCTAGCAGTCTTGCCTCATGACGATTGGTATCGGAATCAGTTATTTCACTTGGAGGTTGTAAATTGGTGTTTTCTGATTCTACCACTTGGTCTCTAACTGATTTTTAAAAAATGCTTATTTATTGAGAGAGAGAGAGAGAGAGAGAGAGAGAGAGAGCACAAGCAGGGAAGGGGCAAAGAGAGAGGGAGAGAGACAATCCCAAGCAGGCTCTGTACCATCAGTGCAGAGTCCAATGTGGGGCTTGATCATGACCTGAGCAGAAATCAAGAGCCAGCCACTTAGCTGAATGAGCCACCCAGACACCCCTCTATCTGATTTTTTTAATACAGCAATATACAAGTAGGGAGATCTTTCCCAGAATCAGCAATTCAATAAAGTAAAAACTTCAAGCCTGGAAAAAAAAAAAAGCAATGAAAGAGCAAGATTCTTATGTTAGTAGCTGTCTACCATCTATACTTTATTGCACATTGAGAAACAAGGATAAAAAATCTAATTGTACAATCTGACTTTTATGTAAAAATTTTGCCCTACCAGACAAAGAATCAAGGCCATATAAAAACAAAACCAGAATAATTTATTTGAATTCATCTTTCCTTGAACAAAAATAAAAATGTCATTTCCTTCAGTGTTTTCTTTCTTTTCAGAAAAGCCATTGGTAATTGACAACCTAGGAGAAGGCAAGTCTTGCTGTTGTGATGGTCACCCTTATTCTGTGGTACAAATAGCAAGAAGGAAATTTGGGAATAATATTTTTTAAAATTAGTATAGTAGTTTGGCATGAATGAGAATTTAATAAAACAAAGCCTGCTGGAAATTTTACAAACATGAAGTTTCCACATTCTTCACTCAAATAGGATAGTCAGTGTTGTTGAAAGTGGAAGTATAGATTAGAACTAATTGAGCTTTTTAGAGAAATTTGATATGAAAAGAGTGATTGGAAAGTCCCATCTTTTTCTTCCTCTCAGTCAGCATGATAAAGACTGTCCACTGAGAACTATTTTCCCACCATGTTCCTCTGTAGCACAATGCATTGTGTGTATGCTGGGAAACCTTCAGTCCAGTTTTATAAATGACTATATTCTGCATTAAAAAGGAGGAATGAGTAAGAGGTATTGGGCTTGATTTCTTCACTGATTCCGGGTGAATATACATTTCCACTTTTTTTCCTCAAAATGTTCCTTCATTATTTCACTCCAGTGCACAGCTTTACCCAAGAATGCTCACCTGGCAAAGAGATGTTACAAGATGCATAAAATATTCTACAGATTTCCAGTTCCCCAGGTAGAGGAACCTTAAACTCTTATTCCTTTCAATAGCTGCAAATAACGAGTGTTTTAAACTAGTTCAAGAAAATTACATTTATAAACCAGTAAGTGTAAAGAGTAAGCGATCACTGAATTCTGTAGATAATTTCCTTTTGAAAGTAAAGGTTTAGTAAAAGGTTTACTTACTCAAATGACTCAACAGCCAAGTCATGGGTTTATAATTTTTTTTTTAAATGTTTATTTATTTCCGAAGGGGAGAGAGACAGAGCGTGAGTGGAGGAGCGGCAGAGAGAGAGAGAGAGAGAGAGAGAGAGAGAGAGAGAGAGCATGAATGGGGGAGGGGCAGAGAGAGAGACAGAATCTGAAGCAGACTCCAGGCTCTGAGCTGTCAGCACAGAGCCCGACACGGGGCTCGAACTGACAAACTGCGAGATCATGACCTGAGCAGAAGTCAGACACTCAACCGACTGAGCCACCCAGGTGCCCAGCAGTCATGGGTTTAAAACAAACTGTGCCTGGAGCATTCCATGCGGTCAACAGATAGCATTTAAATAAATGTACCCATCAGTTCAATAAACAAATAACAGCTGAGTACTAAAATACAAAAACAGGTCAACTTACCAATTTGTTAAACACCAGTCCAATTAGGTAACAGACACATGCAGTAATGAAAACAACACTGCTAGAATAATCTAAGAGCCAATGAAAGAATTTTTTGGCTGTCTTTTCTATTACAGAAGCAACTGTCAAACAGAGGTACAAAAAAGCAGTAAGTTATTTTTCTTTACCCAGAGTTGGCACCTTCACTTTGGGAATGGGGGAATGAGAGAGATTCACTAACCACCTGTAATACTACATTATTCATAAAATTGATCGTTAAGTTTAACTGGACTTAAAGAATAAAGTGATGGGGCGCCTGGGTGGCGCAGTCGGTTAAGCGTCCAACTTCAGCTCAGGTCACGATCTCGCGGTCCGTGAGTTCGAGCCCCGCGTCAGGCTCTGGGCTGATGGCTCAGAGCCTGGAGCTTGTTTCCGATTCTGTGTCTCCCTCTCTCTCTGCCCCTCCCCCGTTCATGCTCTGTCTCTCTCTGTCCGAAAAATAAATAAAAAACGTTGAAAAAAAAATTAAAAAAAAAAAAAAAAGAAAGAATAAAGTGATAGGCAGTCAGGAGAGAAAAATAGCCTCCATAGGTTTAGGGAATACTTGCTTTATTGAGGAATATTTATTCTACTAAGGACCATGAGTCTTTAGATAAAATAAACAAACAAGAGTCCACTAAACTATGGAATCCTTAAGAGACTGAGCCTTACTTAACCTCTATCCTTAGCAGATAGTTAATAGTCTGGAAATGTTTATTAGATTGGCTGTAAATAAAATAAGTGTATAACAGTTTCCGATGAAAGAAAAGAAAGCACTGTACTTGTTCATTGTTAAAATTTAGAATAGGTAAAATAAGTCTGTATTCAAGGAAAATGACACTTTAAAAAATGTTGGCTCCCCTTTAGTATGAGTTGGAAGAAAGGGAGAAGAAGGAAATTTTAAAAGAGATTTTAGAGAGAAGGGAGACAGTTTTCCAGAGAGAGAAGAAAAAAGAAAGAAAGATTCAGAGAGGCAGACGTCCAAGGATGGAGGTAAAGGAAAAGAGAGTCTTTGGAAGACAAAGACAACAAAGGGAAGCCAAGAAAGACTAGGAAGACAGGAAAGGAGGTGAAAAGAGGCCATGGAGATGGGGAGGAGGACAGGGGGTGTGAACTTGGGTTCTGGGGTTGCTGCCCCTTGAGGGAGCATGTCCTCAATAGCAGTTTCGAATAGTCCTTTATGTGCTAGAAAAAAAAGCATTTCTGCTTTATTTTCAACCTTCCAAGTTTATTTCTGAAATAAAGTTTTATATTCCCAAGAAACCCTAAAGATATTGCTCATGTCTGAAAGCAGTCTAGTTTCAGAGGGTGATTTTCTTTTTTAACTTAGAGATAGTGTTTTTTTCCCCACACACACAAAACCAACCCAATCATTTTATTTTGTGTTCTGAAACTGTAGCTGCCATATTCTACAGTTTTGTAAATAAATCAGCATTTATTTTATATTTGGGAGCTTTAAAAGATAAACCTCAAGTTTTCATTTGTTTTGTTTGCCTTCTAATTGGAAAAAATAGATAATGCAGAGTGAAAGACATAGAAAAACACATGAATTTAAATAGGATAACATTTTTAATTGGATATAATCTCAAAATTGGGAAGCAGATATACTCTGAAAACTCTTTCTGTTCCTTATATGTAACAAAGAAAAATATCCCTTATTTTCTATTCCAGAAGTAAAGAGAGTCAGGTATCATTTTTGAGAGGTAGGATTTTGGTTTTTTTTTTTAACTGTCATGGAATAATAGTCCAACTCTTGTGTTCTACTAGATTAATAATATAATTCTTTAAAACATTTTCTTTTCTTTTCAAACCATAAGTTCCTAGCTCTGTCAGGGTCTGCTTCTAAATTACCTGACTCCCTTTTCTCCAGGCACCCTGGGTCAAGAAGGAGTGCATTGATGGGTCTTCTGACATGTCTCACCACTTAGCCCTTAAATGACTACAGAGTCCCCCCCCCCCCCCCCCCCCCCCCCCCCCCCCCCCGCTGCCACCCCCAGGACTGGTCTCCTCCTGCTAAGATGATTTCCCATGCATTCATCCACTGTTAGCTGTTATTTTTGGTATTTATCCAGAGGTGTGCCTGAATTACTTTGCTAGCACTGTTTCTTTTGCCAGAGGGGAAGTTCCTGCCATGTGGTTATTGATGTTCTTTTCAAAGTCAATAAATGACAAATAAAGAAACGATGGAAGATGATTTGTGGCAGTTATGCCTGTGGGCAGCTACAGCACAAAAAAGGGAAGTTCATTTCATTATTTCAGAAAGCTGTAGGCTTAGTTTCTCCCTGGCTGGGAAGGGAGGGCAACTCCTTAGTGTCAGCCCTGAGGTTAACTAGATAAGTAGTTTCCTGGCTTTGGCCTCAGCTCAGGTTTTATCCTCCCTGGGCGTGAGGCCAGTCCTTGCTGTGATTCTGTTCACTTGAGAGTAGACTACTTTGAATCTGTAAGAGGTTGGGCATTTGATGGTGACAGAGCTGTGCATATTTTGTAGGTTTTTTTTTTTCCTGGTCCTATTTGTAGTAACAGATCATTGGCTCCAAAACCACCACAGTCATTGGAAAATCATCAAGATAACCAAAAATGGCTTGCAAACCTGCCTGAAAATCTGTTTCATACCCAGATGTAGATTCACTGGGGGAAACACTGGATTCCAGAGCTCTGCGCCTAGTCCACTGGCCCAAGTGCACAATCCTAGGAGATACTTGTGTTTATCTATTTTTTCCCTAAAATTATTTTCCAGTGGGGAAATTTCTTCAAATGTACAGAAGCTATAATTTCCTGTTTTAATTTATTTCTTCTGAGTCTTTCAATAAATTCTGGGGAAAGCAGGGACTGAATGCTGAGCCTCTACAAAGTAGCATCACCAAATGCAAGTTCATACTTACTCTGGACAGTCGTGCTGTTGGGCAGGGATGTGCTGAATGACTTCGTAAATGGTACTGTTCAAATCTTGTCCTGATACACCATCAGAGGCTGGAATAGACCTGCTTGGCATCTAGAAAATGTGGCACGTTAAAAAAAAAATTAGCAGACTAGTAAATAGTGTGTCTACTCTACTGCATGGTTGAAAACAATTGGAAGTAGTGATGATTAGAGAACTAGATCTGGTTATCTTCCCTACGATGTTCATTTCTCCTTGCTACAGTTTCCTGCACTTACCCTATGGTAGTTTGTGTGGCAGCATAGCTATGAAGTCAGAAGAGGAAGAGCTTGACAAAAGCTATCGCTTTTTTTTTTCTTCATTTAAGAAAAAGAGCTGGCAGTACTGTAAAGGAAATATAATAGAAAGAAAAAATAGCAAAAGAGAAGATATCAGGATAGCTTAGAACCAGAGAGCATATATGATTATCTTTTATATTACATCTCAGTTAGCTTTTTGACACTACTTGCCAATTATACACGCAAGGATGGTTGAATAGAAAAAATAACGCACAACCAAAAGCCCTGATCACACTGCAAGTTAATAAAGACAAGTACCAAGAAATATAGAACACAAAGGCAGATGTTTTGGTTTGAATGCAGTAGTGGGTTCTAAAAACTGAAGGCTTGGAAGAATGTGGAAAGTATTGTAGTATATTTCTACCTGGTAAAAGCCAACATGCATTTTTATTAAAACTGGCATTCATGTTTTATTAACTCCACTTTCTTGTATCCGATAATGTTCTTTTCCCCTGTAAACATTGCATTCCAATTAGTTAGGTAAAGTCTGGTTCCCCTCCTCATCCCGAGCTATTCCGATTTTCATCACATTTCCTATTTTCAGGCCTCCCTGTTTATACAGCTCCACCTAGAGGACTCTTGCCCTTGATAAATCATCTGACAACTCATTCCAGTTTAGCCTGCTATGTTACATTGGAACATCTTAGCTTTGTGTTTTCTTTGGAAATTGTTTCCATTCCACTTGCTAAAGTTCTCAAAGCGCAGCCCTAGGATATGTGATTCATCCTCTCATTTATGTGCCAAGGAGATTTTGGTTTACAGTTTGTACAGATGACCCTTGCACAAATCAGCTTTGAACTGTGCAGGTCCACTTATACATGCATATTTTTCAATAAATACAGGACAATACTATAAATATATTTTTTCTTCCTTATGATTTTCTTAACATTTCTTCTTTTTTTATGTTTTTTTTTTATTTTTGAGAGAGTGAGAGAGAGAGAGAGAGAGAGCAAGTGGGGGAGGGGCAGAGTGAGAGGGGGACAGAGGGTCCGAAGCAGGCTCTGTGCTGACAGCAGACAGCCTGATGCAGGGCTTGAACTCACAAACCGCGAGATCATGACCTGATCTGAAGTTAGACACTTAACTGACTGAACCACCCAACATTTTCTTTTCTCTAGTTTATTTTATTGTAAGAATACAGTATATAAGACAACTATGCATTAACCGACTGTTGATGTTATTGGTAAGACTGTTGGTCAACAGTAGGTTATTAGTAGTTAAGTTTGGGGGGAGTCAAAAGTTACAGGCAGATTTTTGACTGGGTAGGGTTGGCACCCCTAACCCCCATGATGTTCAAGGGTCAAGTGTACTTGAGATCAACTCTTGATTTTCTTTGGTATGGGGGTGTCCAGGACCTATGATAAAAGCAATCTACAGATAATAACTAACTTACTTACCTAAGCTAATATTAGAGCTGGCAACAAGTAATAAATTTGTTCCTTTCATGCCCTTGCTTTCTGTCCAATTTCTCAAAGAGGTGCTAAACGGACAGCAAAATTCCAGCAAGTAGAGAGAGGAGGAGGAGTCCATGTGTACATGTGCCACAACAAGCCAAGAGATTATTCTCATTTTTAAAAACCGCAAAAGTTAGTAATTGAGTTTGTTTTCCTTCTTAACTTCAATTTTGATATCTTGGTTTTAATATTATTTTTCCCTTTCTCCTCAAAGCCATTGCATTTGGCTGCTAATCTTTACACAGAACCACCATGCCAGCTTCTTCCCACATAGGTTCTCCTACACGTGTCCTGCTGCTCATGCTTTTCTTTCTGTTGTTGGTGTTGATTTCTCACTTTTTCCCAAAGCACCTGGCACCGGCAGTTGAAGAACCTTCACTGATTCGTCAGGAATTTTCGGCTTTGAAGATTGGTATGGCTCCAAATTACATTATTGCACTTATGACAGAAATAAGTGGGGCTTTTGATATGTACTCAAAGTGTTCATTTCTCTGCCCCATGTTCTTAGGGATTATAGTATTTTGGGCAAATAGAGGTCCTCCGAAATAACATCTTGAAACCGAGTACTGATTAATCACAGGCTAAATTTTAAGTTTTTTACATAGATCTCACTCCTTTCTAATGAATTCCTAGGAATAAAAACTGCATTGTTTTATTAATTAAAATTTTTTAAATGTTTTATTTATTTTTGAGGAGAGAGAGAGAGAGTGCAAGTGAGGGAGGGGCAGAGAGTGAGGGAGACACAATCTGAAGCAGGCTCCAGGTTCTGAGCTGTCAGCACAGAGCCCAATGCGGGGTGGAACTCACCAGTGATCATGACCCGAACCGAAGTTGGCCGCTTAACCGACAGCCATTCAGGCACCCCCAAACTGCATTATTTTAAATAAAGAAACTCCCAGCTTCAAAAATTCAATTCTAAGTCTTATTAGCTCTCCAGTTTCCTGCTTTCCTACTTAAAAGCCACACCTGAGAGGGGTGCTTTCTGCTGTGGTGAGAAGCTGTTTGAAATAATTGATCTACAAATATTTATTTTTGTCTTTTTGGTTGTAGAAGTGAAAGGTGAGTCAATGCTGTCTGAGACTGAATAGGGCAGTGCAAAGCTTTGTGATGATGTGGGAGCTGGTGCTGCCGACTTGCCCTCAGAAGGATGAAATCCAATCAGTCTCCCTCTATTACTCACATGGCATTTGTGAAATAAAGTCGGTGGCTAGGAAAATTACTGGATGAACCTTACACATTGATAGAATTCACTGAACAGGTGAGGTAACTAATCCCTAATGACAAATAGTTCTTTAAGAAGAAAAAAAAAGGAAAATGCCCAAAGCAAGTAGTCGATTTATGGTCCCTTCCCTAAGTGAACTATTATAGGGGAACTCGGAAGCAGAGGCCCTACAAAAGTCTATAAAAATGTTAATGAGCTGATTAGTTTAGAGAACATTCTTTATGTCTGTTAAACAAAACTGATTGTTTTAAAAGATCTTGTCTTTGCACACTGAAAAACAAAATGTTTCAACAGTGTAAAAGCTCCCCTTCTTGCATCACAGGCAATTTAGGATGAAAGTAAAGATGTGCACTTGCATAATTTGGGTTTACATAGTAGCTTTCTTCTGAACAGCATAAGGGTATGATCAATTGTCTCCGCAAAACATGAGGGGAAGTGAAGAAAAAACTGAGGTATAGACAGAGAGTTCAGTGAAGTGACAGGCTGTAGCCATCAAGGTGATGCAAAATGATTTAAATCAGGGTCCCTGATTCCCTATTTGTTCGGTTCTCTTGAACTTCAACCTAGCTGGTTTTCTCTTCACTGAGCTTACCAGGTAAAGAATGTTTACGAATTAGTGTAACTTCCTAATTCGTGTTAGCCTTATTTATAAAGGCCACAAAAGATGCTTTAGCTCCTCAGATCCAACAACATCTTTCTTTACAAAGTGAGCAAACTCTGCTGAAGGTAGTGCAACCACTTGACCACACTGCCTAAACACTTAAGTGAATGCTGCTTACACCTCTGGTTAATCAGCCATTAGGAAAACCAACCCTGAGAACACCAGCAGCATCTGGAAAAGCAACAAATTCATATATTCCGAAGTCTTCCAGAGCATCTTCATGGCCTGAAATGTAAAACAAATACTACTTACAAATCAAATACCTCCATCTGCTATTGTAGTTTTTTTTTTAAGACTTTGTAAAACTTACCGTTATTGTTTGTTTCAAGTGATATGTGTATAAAACCAATTTAACATTTCCTAATTCCCTGTGGTCATATTGTCAACTAAGCAGTGTTGGAAATCACTCATTCCGAAGCTGAGAACTGGAATTGAATTGGGACAATTATTCTTAAAGCCTGATGTGGGAAAGGTGTATCATATAGTCAAATAAACGCACGTGGGCAGTTTTGTCCTTTGTAACTAACTCAGAGAGTTAGCACACCAAGGCTTCAGCCTGGGAATCACAGCATCTCTTAGTCTACACATAGTATTTATTACACCCTGTCAGATCTAAAATAGAGACCACCAGAACTACTAATATCTATGTATAATGTATATTATTCATTTTAAATTATTATATATAATGTACTATTGTAGCTGCCCATAGGTACAAAATATAATGCAGTGTAATATCAAAATCACCCAAACTATCATCTGTAAAATGATGGGAGTGGGGTGGTTGGGAGGAACCAGATGGTCTCTGGGGCTTGATAAGAGGATGCAGACCCACATTCACTAAGCATCCTGGCATATTAGGCACTCCACCTACATCATTGTATTTAATTCTCCTCACGGCCCTGGTGGAGGGAGGGGGCAGTAATTACCTCCATTATATATATAGATGAGGAAAGTTGAGGTCAGAAAAAATTAGTTAATTTTCCCAAGGTGACATTGGGAAAAAGTGGCATACAGGGCACTGAAACCCAGCATCATGTGACTCCAAGGCCTGGAGGGTAGCCCCATTCTTAATTTATAACAACTTAGTAGGGAATCAATAGTGAAGGGCAATAAGGGGGCCAGCTGGGGACAAAGAAGCAGCAAACCTGCCAAACCTCCCTGCCCACTGCTCCTGGGGAGGGAGCTGCCAGCATTGTCCCTGCTTTAGGAATGAATGAAGTGAGAGGGTCTTGGGCATTTTCAAAATAATAAAAGGATCAATAAATTAGGATTCAGAAGAACTCAGTGATGGTGAGCAAGTGACTTAATCTCTGAGCCTTGGTTCTCTAGCCTATAAAATGGAGTTCAGTGCCTTTCAGGTTTATTTTACAGATTTGTATGACTTACAGTAAAACCAATTCAAGGGATAGCGCTTTGTAAAATGAGGGCACTATTCAAAGTTAAGGGATTGTTTGCATTATAGCAGTTCATACCTTATATGAATTCTATTACATCAATAGTACATTATATATAATAATTAAAATGAGCAATATTAATTAATATACATTAACATTACATTAGTCCCTTTCAGCATAGCCATTACCTGAAAATGTTTGAGCTTTCCTGTATTCTGTTTCTGGTCTGAAAAGACAAAGAGGCATTTCTGTTACTGATAATAACTGAGGAAAAGGCATTCAAGAAAAAATTATATTTGTAGAAATGTATGTATTACCTGCCTTCTAGCTTCTGTTTTATAACTAAAACCAAGAGGAAAAAAAACACAGTAAGGTAATTTTTAGCACATATATAAAACCATTTGTAAATTTTCTTTCTAATTTTAACCTACCTTTATAGGGTTGATATTTTTTCCATAGGAAGAGAAGACACATGGATATAATTAAAAAGAGTGATATTCCGGTTATACTTGCTAAAGGGGACAATGATTTCCCCTTTTGTGCAAGCTTCTCGAGTCCTAAATAAAAAGACATATTTTAAATATTTTTATTAAAGATCAATAATAAATTACTATATGGTTTGACTTTTTTATGCTTTACCTGGGGACATTACTGCATCTGTATATTATATATTACTTATTTTATGTTTATATGTAGAGAGAAAGAGAGAGAGAGAGAGAGAGAGAGAGAACATGAGAGAGCGGGAGTGAGCAGGTGAGTGAGAATGAGAAAGACCAAACAGAAGGAATGCACTTATTTTAGGACACACAGCGATTTGATCACAATGGCCTAAATTTGCTAAGGATATTTGTGATTGGAAATGTGGTAAGCTGCCCAGGATACAACTGATGTGTTGAAATAGATGTCGTATATAGCTTATGTCATACTTTCCAATAGTGTTCACCACCATTTAACCATTTAACTTTGATCTCATTGTATCAAATATCCCCAGATGCTAAGTGGTTCTCTCTCTTTCCTTTTGTCTCACTCTTAGTATAAACCAGGTACATGGATTTTCTAGGCAGGTGGTATGTGATTTTTGATTCTAGATCTAGCCTAGAACACCAAAAACTTATTAGAAAGATTATTTTTCCTTATTTTCTCTCTTAATAATTTATATTCTCCCACTGTTGGAAAGCTGGCCTTTTTAATTTGGAACTACTTTAGCATTTGGGTGGTCTCTTTGTGAGGTCTGAGCCTTTCTTCAGTTACTCTGCTCCTACCTCACAGGTTTGTTCTTTCTAAAGAGCTGGGCAACTTTGGGTGAGCCACTTGACTGATGGCCTTGATTCTCACACTAGTGAAATGAGGTTAGAGTAAGAGGCCTTTAAGTTTTGTTGTTTCTCTAATATTCTAGAATTTGGGGCAGCCAGAGAGTCTTATATGAAGTGTATTATGTAAATAGGACACTATCCAGTGGCCTACCAGTAATTGAGTCTCAAAAAATGTATTCACATATATACATACAAAAATTACAAATTTTAATGGTATAAAGGAAGTGTAGCACATAACTTAGAAATAATTATAAAATATGCAATACTCTTTACTGTTAATTACACATAGCTGATTCTCAGGAAATGCATTTGTTGCTTTTTGCTAAACTCTTATATTTTCCATCTATGGGTTAAATTCAACCATATTTGAAAAAATTAGACTTTAAATAACTACTATGATTACTATGTAATTGAACAAAGAAATAGGTTACATCATAAATGAACAAGTTTAGTTTTAATATGAATGTTGGTTGATATTTAGTGTGATGAAAAGGAAATGACAGCATACATTGGAACTTCATTCATTCATCAATCATGTGAATAACTGCTGGACTGAATAATAGTTTTTGATGCTGGAAGAATATTTCCTCAATTTTTTGTGCCATAGATAATGTGATGGCTATGGACATAATATACTCTTAAATTTATTTGGCATTATTATTTTCTCCATCACTTTCTCTTTTTTTGTCTTTTTTTATTTCAGAGAAAGAGAGAGAGTACACATGGGAGAGGGGCAGAGGGAGAGGGAGAATGTTAAGCAGGTTCCATGCCTGACTCAGGGCTCGATCTCATGACCATGAAATCATGACCTGAGCTGAAATCAAGAGTCGGACACTCAACTGAGTGAGCCACACTGGCACCCCTCTCCATCACTTTATTAAGTGTAGACAATCTTACTATAGAACAACACATCCAGTGAGTTTTTTATAAGTAGTATTTTCATGATTAAGAAATTATTATATTATAAAATTATAATATTTTATAATTTTCATTGAGATTTCTTTAAAAAAATTTTTTTAATGTTTATTTATTTCTGAGGTAGAGAGAGAGTGTGATCGAGAGAGGGGCAGAGAGAGAGAGAGAGGGAGACAGAGAATCTGAAGCAGGCTCCAGGCTCTCAGCTGTCAGCACAGAGCCTGACGCGGAGCTTGAGCTCACAAACCATGAGATCATGACCTGAGCTGAAGTCGGCTGCTCAACCAACTGAGCCACCCAGGCACCCCTTCACTGAGATTTCTTATTTGACCTATGGGCTATTTAGAAAACATCTTGCTTTATTTATTTAAGTTGGGAATTTTTCTAGTTTTGTTTTCTGTTATTGATTTTTAGTTGAAGTCTACTCTAGAGGACAGACCCTGTTTGATTTCAATCTTTTGAATACCAAGATTTTAGAAAGATGACCATATACATGGTCATATGAAAAGAGGGTATATTCTACAGTTGTTGTATGTTAAATTCTATATTAATTCAATTAGGTCAGATTATTTTTCTCTATTCCTACTAAGTTTTTGCCTGTTTATTCTATTAGTTACCAAGAGATGTACGCTAAAATCTCCTACTCTGATTATGGATTTTTCTACTTTGTTAATTTTTGCTATTTATTAGATACACTTTGAAGCACTGCTAGTAGATGCATACAAGTTCAGAATGCTTATATCCTCCTGCTGGAGAGACCACTTTACTCTTTTTTTTTTTTATTAAAAATTTTTTTTAATGATTTTATTTATTTTTGAAGGAGAGAGAGAGACAGCATGAGTGGGGGAGGAGCAGAGAGGGAGGGAGACACAGAATCCGAAGCAGGCTCCAGGCTCTGAGCCGTCAGCACAGAGCCCAATGTGGGGCTCGAACCCACAAACTGTGAGATTATGACCTGAACCGAAGTCAGACGCGCAACTGACTAAGCCACCCAGGTACCTCGAGAGACCACTTTACGCTTATGAAATGTCCACTTTTTTAATCTGAAGTATTACTTCTTGTCTCAAAAAATTTATCCAATTCTTATGTAATTTGTCTGATAATAGTAGTGGTATATCAGCTTTCTTTTGGCTATTTGTATGGTTTATTTGTTCATCCTTTTACTTTCAATTTCAGTATCCTTATATATACGATGTATATCTTATAATCATCAAATAGTATTTTTTGCATTGAATAGTATTTTTTAAGTTTATTTATTTATTTATTGAGAGAGAGAGTATGAGTGGGGGATGGGAAGAGAGAGAGAGGGAGAGAGAGAATCCCAAGTAGGCTCCACACTGTCAGCACAGAGCTGGATGTGGGGCTCAATCTCACAAATCATGAGACTGTGACCTGAGCTGAAATCAGGCGTCTAACCTACTGAGCCACCCAGGTGCTCCTGAATAGTCTTTTGTAATCCAGTTTGACAATTTTTGTCTTTTAGTTGGAATATTTAGTACCTTAATATTTAATGAAATTATTAATATATTTTGTTTTAGATCTACAATCTTATTATTTTTTCTATATTTCCTCCATTTTTGTCTCTCCTTTCTTATCTTCATTTGGATTAATCAGGACTTCATTTTATTTCTCTTTTCTTCTCTAGTTGCTTGTTGGTTATACATTTTTTCTTTGTGTCTTAGACTTTGAAGATGAAAAAAAAAACTAACCAAAATTAATACTTTTACTGCTTACCACTTCCACTGGCCTCCAAAATACAAGAATAAGTTCCATATAAAAGATGGGACAGCTAACACTCAGGATACACAAAGTTGAACTCAATAATGTCTGACTATAGTTCTATGCTCTTTCCATCACTTCTACCTTACCATTATATGAGAAACAGCAATCCTTCCACCATTAAGCTCAAATCTCTTCAGTTCTACCAATGAAATTACAACTAATAAGTCAAATCCTTTTTCTGCATGATTTTTCTGTCACATCTCCCCTGAGAATTCTCTTCTTCAGAATCAAAATCCCTGAACGGTTTTATTGTTCTTTGTATGATTGATTTCCACATTCTCTATTATCCTAGAGGTAGAATTTTAGAAACTCAACAAAAGCTAATCTGTTTTACTTCTAAAATATAAATTTGGAAGAACCCATACTCTGGTGTCATTGTCAGTAAGATAAAGGCAAATAGAATACTCTCTTGAAACACCAGCAGGGATAGAAAAGCAAAGTAATAAGGGTGAAATACTAAATATAGAATATGATTTGGGCACCACTTTTAGCAAGTGAATTCTCTATTTCTTCGTTTAATTTAATTTTTTTTTGAGAGAGAGAGTTGAGAGGGGAAGACGGGCAGAGAGAGAGAGAGAGAGAGAGAGAGAGAGAGAGAGAGAAAATCTTAAGCAGTCTCCCTGCTCAGCATGGAGCCAGACACAGGACTCGATTTCCCGACCCTGGGGGATTTTGACCTGAGCCGAAATCTGGAGTCGGATGCTCAACCAACTGAGCCACCCAGGTTCCCTTCTATTTCTTCATTCTAGATCATATATTAAAATCAAAACTAGCCAATTTTCAGATGTGCACAATTAAATGTATAATCATCATATGTAATTAAAACCAAATGTACATTTGTTTCCCATTTATTTGGTAGAGATGTATCATATCACTAAAATGTAAATAATTTTAAAAATTAAAGTACCATTTATAGGTACAGATAAAGAAATAGTCTCCAAGAAACTAAAATATTTGCTACAGTAAGTCATAACTAAGACTGGAACATAGGTTTTTTTCTGACTGCAAGTTCATTTTTTTCCTGTTAATCCATAGTCAAAGAGTGGTTTTGTAATGGCAGGTAGGCTCCTATATAATCACTTTTACCTTCCACCTTTCTAACACCAGACTTGATGTGTTTCAGCTGTTTCACTTCTTGATAGATTGTCTTCACCAAAATTCCACTAACCCCTCAAAAAAGTACTGAATGCTGATTTATTCTTCTCAAGCTTCTGTTATGTGCTTTATACCATGAGAAAAACCGTAGGAAAATATTTTAGTATAGTCTTTGCTGTTTTTACCCCCTTAATCTTGAAAATATGCTAATAATTATTATTTCCAAGTACTTCTCATTCTAATGGTGAAGTTACACTCTTGAATACATAAGCTCTTTGCCAGGCACTTCCATGATTCTGAAGCCTGGCAGTTAGTTTAACATACAATGATTAGATGTCTTACATTTGGATAAGACATCTCCTTGCGTCTCCTTCATTTTTAGCTTTTTGTCCTTTTTGATTTGTGTTTCCTAAAATGATCGAATTTGCACATTCTGTCCTTCAGAGGATCCC